TGCTCCTAGTAGTAAGGCCAGGAGCCCTTAGTAGCGTCTTTGCTCCTGGTAGTAAGGCCAGGAGCCCCTAGTAGCGTCCTTGTTCCCAGTAGTAAGGCCAGGAGCCCCTAGTAGCGTCCTTGCTCCTAGTAGTAAGGCCAGGAGCCCCTTTTCCGGTTTGTAGGCGAGCACGATCCATTTTCCCTCGTTGGGCGTCCAAACGGTCGACCACCTCTGCCATCTCATGAAGGCCCCTCTGAAGGCAGAACTATTGGTGACGAGTGGACCAAATGATAGCCCTGTAAGATGCCAAGGGAGATCCACAAACAGAACACATGCAGTAGAATACGTTATGCATGCTGCCAAGCAAGTGCATCGCTACTAGTAACAAGTGCCTTACTAGTAGTAACAAGAAGCTTATTGTTTCTATTTTCTTTCTTTTCCGGATTTCAGGTGTTTATCCTTTCATCATGCTGAGATGTAGCCCGGTGTTGGCGTTGCTGGGTGAAGACTCGGTCTGTGTTCGGTGCCTACAGAGGTGCCATTCATGCTCTAATGCTTCACCCGAGATGCGGATGCACTGCCTTTGTGAATGCTTCATGGTTGAGAGGATAAACCTTCGTTCATCTCAAGTGCCGATCGTGTTCTATGGGTTTTCAAAGAATTCGGAGACTTGCTTCCACGGGCTGATCTCAGGCTCCATAAATGCTTCAGGCAGGCCCCCCAGGCATGTCCCCCCATCCTTTCCTGTTTGAAGTGATGCAACTGTCCAATAGGCTTCGAGCCACCAAGCATCAATGGGTTGAGTCTTCCATCACATCCACGGACCTAGCTCACGGCCTATCGGCCTATCCCCACCTCTGCCCTTTGCTCCGTTCGTAGCGTCCTCTTGCTCTTGTCAGCAACATGCCAGCTTCCAACGGCAGCACGAGCAACATGCACTCCATTTCTGGCATTGAGCGACCACTGCTGAAGCTGCGACAGTGCCACGGCTGAAATCCGGACTCCTTTGGGTCAAAACCTAGCTCTGGTTAAACACCGTGCTTGATCAGAGCCGAATGACACATGACAGAGACCATAAATTGCAATGGTTTGGGCCAGTGTTACGTTGTTTTGGGGGCAAGGGCTTGAGCGCAAGTGGAGCAGGATCAGTTATATACCCATCGTGGTGCGTGGATTCTTGAATGTCCCTCATTTTAACCAGTTCTTTGAAGCCTTGGCCTGAGATTTTCCACGCATGTTCCATGCCGTTGGAGACAAATTGCGGTTGATTTGCCAATTAATTACTATGGTGCGTAGTATGATACAATGGTGAATGTTCCTGGGCCCTGGGCTGGCCAACCTTCCAGGATGCCTAAAGAGCTGCACCCAAATGCGCTTCCCTTCCTGGCTGTTTTTCGCAAGGCTTTCGGGTAGCGGTTTCGGGCGTCGCCACGCAACATGGTCTTCAGTCTGCTTGGAGTCGCTCCATGTCATGTCTGAGGATCACCTTCTGGCTGCAAGAGGTCGAGAATGGCGTCCAATTACTGGGCCTTCACATTTCTGGCGCAGGCCACGTCTGCACCGGTCCGCTTGTGGAGAGGCATGTTGGGAGGTCAAAGGAATGTATTTTTGGAGATTTGAATTGTCAGATGCGCGACGTTCTCAACTGACCCCTCCATTGCTTTCATGAATGATGATAATGAATACTACTGAGATAACAGATCTATCTGACAAGTTTGAAGACCACTCTGGTAGATGAGGCCATTCCAGTCACCGTTCCGGCACCGTTCCGGTCGTCGTTGGGATTTGTGGAGGTGAGGATTGGAACACTTGCGTGAAGAAGACCTTTATTGAAGTTAGCCACTGGCCTAGCAGCTGAGAGACGAAGTGACAGGAGCTGATTTCCTTGAAGATAGTCATTGCATAGGGAGAATTCCGTTAGACTAGTGCCTTAGAGAAAATGCCCCACCTTTTTTCAATCCAGATCGGATCTCGCAAATTGTCAACGTGGTCAGGTAGCATTTTCTGTCGGGTTAACCTGGAACCATCCACGAGAAACCGATCGGGTATCCTAAAACTAACCAAAAGTTGGACCCGATGAAGTCGCCGAAATGGTGAGGCATGGACCCAAGGCCCAAGACTTGGCCTTTCCACCAGGCCTTTCCAACATGAACCCTGTTTTCCTGCGCTGCAGTTGGCTGCTTTAATGAAGTGTGACAACAGGTTCAGCCAGCTCTTGTCGCTTTACTGTTTCAACCTTCCCAAGTCTATCCCCCGTCCCAGAACCGCCGAAAACACCTCTCTCCGCTGAGGTGAGTTAAGGGAGTCGCCCCTGCGACGGCGCAGGGCCAACTCCTGGTGTACACAGGCGCGTCCGCCACGGCAGACCGACAACGGCGGACTCCCGCGATTCCACGAGCGGCGAGGCAAGACCTGAGAGTCTTGGAAGGATTTCAAGAGATCAGGGTGCTTTCAAGTGCTGGATCATTGTAGCAGGACCTTGGGGTAGTATATAATTGGGCTGGGTTGGAGTTCCAAGCCTGTGGGTCTGTAAGACGCCGGCGAGAACGGATTTCACTGGATTGCAAACAGCCATGGATTGGCTCGGAAGAATGGACTCAGAGGTCCAAAGGCCTCCTTGTTTGGAGGATGAAAAAACATCACGGAGGCAACCATCATCAACCATCATTCATAGTGGATGGATGACATGTGATTCAGGAACCTTGCATCCATACGGCTTGCTTGCATCAAGCAGTTGTCTCCTTTCGGCCGGTGGGCACCCAGTACCCCGTCGGAGCACAGAGAAAACACTGCTTGTCATGATACATGAAGGTTAGAAGCCCTTCATGCGTTTGGCGAGGGAGAAGCAGGACACGTGGCCCCATAAATACACGATAACACACGTGTCAATAGTGTCAATCCCTAAAAGATTTTACAAAGACTCCCACAACATCCCACAACCCCCTCTCCCATCCTCTCCCTATCAGCAACTCGTCGACAGCTTTTGCAGATAGCGTTGCCCATGGATAACGCCAGTCAACGCCAGAGCGACCAGGACAACTGGCTCCAAATCGGTCAGCAATCTGTTTGGCTCCGGTTGGTGTTCGTCACACCAAATTTGCCATTGCTGTTTTTTTTGCGCCATCTTCAAACCAAGGGATCACTTCCAACACTTTTCCTATGCTGGTGAGTCAGGAAAAGCGCACATGAAGACATGAAGAGGTTGCTGCCAGATGATTGGATGGTTGTGTCAGCGTGACACCCAAAACATCCCAAAACTGTCTGTTGATGAGTCGTTTGATGAGTTGATGTTTGATGAGATTTTCATCGAGATGTTTGATGTTTGCCTTGAGTCTTTTCGGAACCATCGTGGCATATCGTGCATGTTTCTTTGGTTCATGCTTGTCGACCTGTAGTACTTGTTGGTAGTGGTGATGATGTTGATGATGCTAGGGAGCACGAGAATCCATATATTTTTCCTCGGCATTTTTCTCCATGGTCTCAGCCGTCGGGGCTTGGGCGTGTTTGATCCACTGATGCCCAGGAGGAGAGCTTTGACGATGCAAAGGACGCTGAAGAAAGTTGCAGTTCTACCCACGGCTGCTGGGCACCAGCGGTTGCTACAATGTTAGAGTATTCACTTTACTGCTATTGCTCGTTGTTTCTTCAATCGACAAGTTGGCCTTTCTGGGGTGAAGAGTGCGGCGTGGTAGTCCAGGAAGAATAGACAGGCGCCCCATGAAATCTTAGGAGATGTCAAGGACGATCAGATTGAATCCCCCATCGGATAGAATCTGAGGACTAGTGGGGGACACTGCAAGAACTTGACCGGTGTTTTCCTGGATTGTCTCAATCGTCTTATGTTCCATCAACACATGACCATGTCTGTTAGTTAGTCAATTCATCTCCAAATTCTCTCGATTGGAAGGATCATGATAGATCAGTGTTCCATTCGGCATTGCTCGGCGCAAGGTTCCCAGGGCTCGCGGGGTGCCTTCGAGCGGCCTTCCACTCCGCGGGGGAAGGCCAAGGCGCTAAGCGGAAGACTCCGAGATCAAAAAGCTCCAGATCACAGCTTTGAAGGATAAGATTACAGGTGCTTATGTTTGGGGGAAATGTCTTGTATCTAGAAAAACTTCAAGATGGAGGCAAAGAGCTACATGTTCCTTCCCTAGGATCATTTACGACCCAAGTGCTTCATGGAATAGTCTCTGACCCCAGAAGGCCTGATCTTTGTCCTATGATTTGTCACGGTAAGTCTTCGGAGCTCAATCTTTGGAGCTTTTATTTTGAGTGCCTCCAACCTAGTACCCCGCTGAAAACTAACATGCACCCTGAAAACCACTGGTTTGTAGAGGAAAACGGTCTTTGAGGGTGCCATTCTCAGAATCCATGTTAGATTTTGGGAGCGTAGCTTCTTGTTGCTATAGTAGTAGTGGCCTCCAACCTACTGTAATATAGAGATGTCCTCCAACCTAGTAGCTTCTTGTTACTAGTAGTAATGGCCTTCAACCTAATAGCGATGGCCTCCAACCTAGTAGCTTCTTGTTATGTGCCGTTTTCCTGACACATGTGTCTTTCACTCTTGAGTCCTTTGGCTCTTTCCGCATCAACTTCCATACTCAAATCAGCCCCTTGTGCACAGGGCCCTTCTGTGAGCTCACGTGGGCAGCAGCGATGGTGGATGGAATTGAGTGTCACAGATGAAAGGAATGGACGACATTCAGAATCAGGATGGCTGTGGGTCATGTTTCTACTAGCTTCCTGTTACTACTAGTAAGGCACTTGTTCCTAGTAGCGTGGCACTTGTTC